TTAGACGTTAGAGAGCCACTTAATATAATTCTAAACCATATTAATGTATTTGTTTAAGCTGCACAGTAGGTACCATGGGCCTTAGAGCCCAGTGAAACGACCCTATGAGGCAATTGAATTGTAACAACAGGCCGGCAAGTTTTGGACTTAAATCAGCATTTATTACGCAATAATTAAGTATATTAAACACTACCCAAAATAATAACCATTTCTCTTGGCCATTTTGACTGTAGGCAGTCGGGCAAAAAATTTACACGTATATAAAGGAGACTAGAGGAGCGGCGCTTACCTGCCTGTCAGCTGCAGTCAGTGAGTGGCGAGTGGTCGGTGAGGAAAGGGACGAAGGCGAGTTAGTCGAGGCCTTATATGTCAAGGTTCACAGTGACGTCACGAAGCTTCACTGAATCATTTTTTTGCTTCATTGAAGCATTTTTTTGCTTCATTGAAGCATTTGAAGCTTCGAACTTGTATATACGTTAAAATACGTAAAAACGTCAAATTTGTGGCCCGATTTAACTTTTCATTAACTTTAAGGGAATAATACAACGAAAACAGTGTCCCAGAAGGAAAAGAAAAGCAAAAACAAAGCAAAACGGCTCTGTGAGCGGCAGTTTTTGGAGTAACTATTATATTTAATCACAGAAAACGGAGCAGATATTTAATCACAGAAAACGGAGCAGGAGTAACTATTATATTTAATCACAAACCGGAGGGGTAACTATTATATTTAATCACAAAATGGAGGGGTAACTATTATATTTAATCACAAAATGGAGGGGTAACTATTATATTTAATCACACATAACGGAGCAGGAGTAACTATTATATTTAATCAGTGTTCAGTCGCAGCCAATATATTAAATATTGACCTCATAGATAATTTTTCTATTCAACTTGTTTATATCTTGACAGTCTTGGTCTGTCCTTCACTGCCGCCAACAGTAATGAAGTAGTTGAGTTGGTTGGTGATACAGAGATCAACCATTAGCTCAGAGGTTAAGAGTACTGCTTACTGTTCATGGTGGTCATATACTCCTATTGGTATTATTTCTGGTTGTGTGTGTATTCTTAGCCCTTATCAGCCGCTTTAACAAGAGTTTTATTGTGTATATAATGTGCTTTATTTATTAACAGCTTTTAGGAGTATTACAATATTGAAAACGGTCGTATTTTTATTATTTATTAACAATGTCCTTATTTTATGCTGTCAGTCCATTAATTTACACATGACGTCTCAATAAGGTTAAACAGGGACAATTTCAACAGTTTTATTGATCTTTATTGGAAATTCATCACATGTTCAGGAAAAATACATCATGGATACTAGAGTTGAACACTTGGAGGCTTTATTAATACATTACACCATAAAACAAGAGAAACAATATTTGCAATACAATAAAGTACACATTAGGGTATGAACTACACATACAAGAATATTATATAGTACAATCAAATAACACTTTAATGCCATATTCTATTTTATATTTACAAATTAATGCAATGATCTTATAAAAGATACTATCACTGACACTAGTGAAATTATTAAATATAATTGTTTTATGGGATAAAATATAATAGTTACCCCTCCTTAGAGTTCTGTCATGAAATATAATAGTTAACCCTTCTTAGCTTTCTGTGATGAACTATAATAGTTACCCCTAAAACCTTCCTCTCATCAAAACCTTATTCTTCTTCTTCCTCTCATCAAAACCTTTTTTTCTTTTTCTTATTCTTCTTCCTCTAATCAAAACGAAAAAAAGATCGAAAGCTATTACTTTTGGATGCCTTCATTTTCGCGAGTTTCAGGAATATATGTAATTAAATCTTTAATTACAGTAATAATCAAATAAGATTTTAGTGCCATAATCTATTTCATATTTACAAATTAAACCAATGATCATATATAATAAAATTTCACAGGAAACTAGTGAAATTATTAAATGTAATTGTTTTCTGGGATGAAATATAATAGTTACCCCTTAAACCTTCTTCTTCTTCCTCTCCACACAGGATATCCTGATTAATAATGTTGCAGTGAAAGGGTTAAAGCACAAGTATATGTTATGTGAAGGATAAAGTAAAATCATTGATATTTAGACTATGTACTGGATACATATTCTATTGTAATCACAATGCTATTTATAGGGATACCTAAAAGTAATCCAAATGTAAATTAATTATATAGCTAGCCCTGCTATTTGTAACTACTACGAAGTTAGTCTGCAAATAACCATTGACAATAAATAGTATATTTTTAGCCACACAAGAAAAATTAACATCTTCCTTTTGTTTTCTCAAAACAAACAGCTTACTACTTCATGACATAAAACTTTTTTTCAGTGGGGAAATTTCAACACTGTTAATCCATTTGATGTACAATTATATACAGTGGAAATTGTATAGTAATTCAAATGGAAAAATATATTTAAAATATTCTCTATGACTGAAATTCTAGTGATAGCTGGAAGTAGTGGTAGTCATATACTGTACTGTACTGTACAGTAGGAGGGTTTTGAGTGTGAAGATCGGTAATAATCCTGGTGGCAAGAAGTGATCATATTGCTTAAGGAAATAATTTTAATGTAGTGAAACCTATGATACATAACATGGAAAATAATAATAATAAATTAAAATATTAGTAAAATAAGTACTACCGTATACCAAGAACTTAAATTTCTCTGCTTTACTTACAAGGAGAAAAACAGTGACAAACACTAAAGAATCTTGGCAGGATTTGAAACAAACCTACATAGTACTGTATAATGTCACTGCTAAAATATTTTCACAATGTTCATGACATCACATTTCATAAAACAACCATGCATTGAACTTTAGAGTGGAGGTGAGCAACATACAGCAGCCAGCTACTTTTAACAACAGTCCATCAAAGATACTTGCAACAACAAATAAGGTGAGAAAAAAAAGCTTGTTAAAATTTATACATACAACAACTATGAAACAGGTTATATACTGTATCTTTAATTACTTTTGTAACATTTGCCACTGTCTATGAAAATAGGGGCTGACATGATAAGTTTGTCACATTTGCAAGCCTTTTTCTATTATGATATAGAGGCAGCAAGACACAAGCAAACTGTTTCATGTTGTTCGCTGACATTCTTTCTCTCACTTATGAATGACAGAAAATGAAGGGAGACAGTGTGCTTAATCTCAATTATCTGCCTCA